TTTAATTATCTTTCCAAACCAAAACAAAACTATTAAATAAGCGATATAAACAAATTTTTACATCGTTAATAAAACATCTATTAAAATAAAAATAAATAGATAAATATATGTAAGATAAGAAATAAAAATAAAAAATAAAAATAAATAAAAACAAGCAAAATAATCTAACCCAAATATATAAATAAATTAACAAATAAACGACTTCTGGCAAAATAACCACCAAAATAGACTACCCATAATGCACCACTGACCCGTATATATAAATAGCCGAGAAAAAAAATAACAATCGTGGCCTGACGATTGCATCTAGCATGAAACAGACTGTCGCCTCTAAGTGTTAACTTCAATGTTCACTTTTATATTTACACACATCTATCTCTGATATTCAGTACTTTATCACATAAATATAGCATACCATAACAATATATTTCTTCATATATGTGTGTGTGTGTGTGTGTGTGTGTGTGTGTGTGTGAGAGAGTGTGTGTGTGTTTGTGTGTGTGTAGAAGTACACTTCTACATTTATTGTTTTAACTCAAATCTATCCAAACTAAACACATATAGGTTCCCAAATCAAATATAGCAACTGATGTATTCTGATTGGTCCATAAATAAGAATGTTTCCGCCTACGTCCGCACAGTTAACGTCGAGTTGACCTGTTAAAAGTAGAACGCGCCAAAAAAATGTAATCATGTTCTCGTGTCTACCACGTGGTTCACATTAATTATAAATACTTGGCGACATCGAAATACACTTCACAGTTTATCAACAAGAACTCTTTCCTCAATCAAAATTCCAAGGACCAGTAAATTTCAGCATTTCAAACTGAATTACTTTCTGTACAATTGTCGTTATGCAAATATAAATTCCATTTCCTTGTGTTTTCTTTTGTTGAATTTGTTTCTTCTTGTTGTTTCATATTTTGTATTAATTAGCGTAATATGTATTAGTTAGGGCGATTCAGTGACCCTATATATATATATATAATATATATATATATATATATATATATATATATATATATATATCATATAGATCACCGGATCGTACATACTAATATATATATATATATATATATATATATATATATATATATATATATATATATATTATGAAATGGACAAAGTCCGACAATTATTTTAATACATTTTTATGTTTATACCGCCCTTTTATAGATACAAATATTTTAACGGAACTGCCATATAGCCTGACGCATATTATAGGAGGACGAATATTATCTATAAAAATTTCTCGGACATTCAGACTGGTAAATATCGTTAATACATTTACTTAAATATTTGTATCTATAAAAAGAACGTATAAACATAAAAATGTCTTAAAATAATTGTCGGAATTTGTCCATTTCATAATGTATGACGTCAATTTTTTACATTTGGATACGCATCGAGCAGATATGAATGTACGAGAGAAAATCATAGAGAATTGTAGTTTAAAAACAGTAAAATCGACCTTGCTAACCGAAACGCTTCTCTGTGGCTCAATCGTTAAAAGCACGTCAGGCTATATGACGGTTCCGTATAGGATACAGGTTCGATTCCTGTCAGAGGACGCATATTTTCAATGAAAATTTCTCGGATTTTCAGGCCGGTAAATGTCGTTAATACTGTTTATTATAAACAGAGAATTTGCATATAATATTTGTATCTATAAAAAAAAACAAAAAACGTATAAACATAATAATGTCCTTGACAGTCCATAGATTCAAATCTGTAATTTCAGAGTTTCATAGAGAACGGGATAGTTAAACACACGCAAGAAAAATGTTAGAATTTAGTTCTTACTGTAAATTGCGTCGCCGATCTTTGGGGCGGACTCTTTCTAGTTTGACAGCTTTTTGTGTGTGGACGTGAATGGGGACTTGACTTCTGTGCATCTACTGTCAAAATTGTCCAAACTGCCCCACAATTGTTAGACACAAAAACCATATATATATATAAACAGGGATCATATCATTCATATACAGGTTCGGGTTTGGTGTATCTTATTCATGTGTTTGCGAAGATGTATTCTCGCCATTTAAATCATTAACCTCTATATTTGTTTTTTATATGAATGATTCATGAATTTATAAATTATATTTGCACCTTTTAATTTCATTTAAAATAACTGATCCAACGTGCAACTCTCGGATAATAAGTGTGACATTACTGTAATTATTGAACAATATAGTTCAGGCCATATTCACGGAAAATCTACCAGTAAAAAAGAATTCTCCTATTACTATATTTGTACAAAAACGCACAACCTTAAAATTTAAATTCAAACTCAGCGTTGCGACCGCACGTTCCAAAACAATAACACATTTCTCATAACATTTTTTCGGATTGCATCTCTATTATCGTTGTCCTCTTATTACTGAGAAGTAAAAACAAGAATAAAATCTACTTCCATACCTGATGATGTCTGTAGGAACAGACGAAAGCTTGTAAAAAATTAAAAAGACCTTATGCAACTGGAATTTATAAACAGGGATCATATCATTCGTATACAGGTTCGGGGTTGATGTATCTTATTTATGTGTTTGCGACGATGTATTCTCGCCCTTTAAATCATTAACCTCTATATTTGTTTTTGGTATGAATGATTCATGAATTTATAATATATATATATATATATATATATATATATATATATATATATATATCTGTAACAGCTGGCCACTCGTATTCGAGGATACCCGTCGACTAGGGTGGCTAGCCAATCCCTATTGTAGACGCATGCCAGGCGCATTTGTGTTTATTCAACACCCACAGAGCCCACCAGTGGTTTATACTGCAACTATGCTGAGCAGATCTTAGTTACAGTTTCTGGGAAGGAGCGTGTTATCTAGCGTGATCAACAATTTGAACAAGGACAACACATTCATGCCCTCAGCCACGATGAATTGTGGCTTTGTGCTAGCAGAGCTATTATGAGTTCCGTCTACCCAATTTTACTCACAAGTCTTGGGCCAACCTGTGGTATAGTTTTCAGGCACTTTCCAAAGGCGCCACACGCTGCGATCGACCTCGATCCATTACGATAACATCAGGAAGTCTCCTTCCTGACAAATTGACCTTGGTGAGATTCGAACCATGGTCTCATGGTCAGAAAGTGATATATATATATATATATATATATATATATATATATATATATATATATATATATATCATGCTTATATTATTTTGTCTCCTCCGACATGTTGGCTAAATCGTATTTTAACACCAGTAGCTAATCTGTTGCATGAAATTATACGAAGACTATGAATAGATGTATGGATCAATTATATTAACATTTTTAAGTTAAGTCCTGACATAGAATATGTCGGAGTTAACTTCTCCTTAATTTCATAATTGTTCATTAGGGGACGCTCTCCCTACGCTATAAATACTGGGCGATTTGTTTCCTTGTTCTTTTTTTTTTCATTTCTTTATTTTCAGCGAACACATCTACAATGTAAGCTCTCCTGGAAGATTGCGTCTTCTCATTTGTGGGAGATGACATGAACATTATGCACACATACACATACGTACGAACATTCACCAAAATACAAACTCTCTACGTTCACACAGAAACACAGATGTTAATGCGTATATCCACTGTAAATTTTGTTGTTTAATATATATATATATATATATATATATATATATATATATATATATTTATATTGTTTTCTTTACACTTCTTTATGATGGATTCAATCTCTGAGTCCGCCATATATATATATATATATATATATATATATATATATATATATATATATATATATATATAGATCTCTACTTAGTGTATTGAGCCCTTTGCTTAGTTATTTTTGCTTTACTTGTGTGGGAGGTTTTTTTCTTTGGACTCTGAACTTAGATTCTAGACGATTATTTTCGCCTCAGTTAAATGTTCTTTGTTTTTTTTATCCGTTATTTTTCCTTCCGTATTGGTTTGTTCATTTACAAGCCAAAACACCTAAGTTTTTTTCCAGACGAATATAATTATTTATTATTTATTTATAAGATTATATATATATATATATATATATATATATATATATATATATATGCAATTATGTATTGCACTCTTATACGAAATATATTTTTTTAAGCAACGAGACAACCTGCCATATTTTGGTCCATTTTCACTGTGCTTAATGACCCTGTTTTTTACATGGTATCCTTTGTTCATTATTTATATTATTCGGACGATTGTCCACATCTTTGACGCCATATTTATTACAACGTTTCGGCCGTTGTACGCTCCGGCCTTCTTCAGGTAGTTGGAATGTCGAATTGAACCCTTGATTTCATTCACTGGGGTTGACTGTTCTAGATACACGTGCCATGTTTAATGGATTTCAGTTATCGGTTATCTCCTGTTAATTTTCCCTCTGAAAGTTCTCCACTCCCTTACCCGGGTTTTGAACTCACACTCTTTGGGTCCTGTCACTGGATCTAACTAACGCCTTTATCCACTGTGCCATGTGTCCTCAACGCCGGAGGGTACAACGGCCGAAACGTTGTAATAAATATGGCGACAAAGATGAGGACAATATTCCGAATAATGTGAATAATGTACATAATAGCACATCCCAGAAATATAGACAGGTATCTTTTGTTGTCTTTAACAATCATGTTGTCTGTTGTCATCTCTGGCATTCGTCAACAGGCAAAATCTTGCGATAAAGACAACCACGGAAACTGATTGAGATAATCCGTGTGTGAAAACACGAAGCCATAATTTCAGAAATTCAAAACAACATTATCATTCTGTTTTGTTGTCTGTTTTATAATGAATTAATTCCTTTGCGTTTGACTTCTAGGTTAAAAAATTTCACCATCGATTATACTAAATAATACATGGTGACATTTTATATAATTTACATACGAAACCAGATAATATGATTTCGAGTTTTCGATCTTCCAACGTGAGAGAGACAGAAATTAAATAGCTAAGAGAATCACGCACGCACACACACACACACACACACACACATATATATATGTACATAGAGAGAGAGGGAGACAGAGAGCTAGAGATAGATAGATAGATAGATAGATAGATAGATAGATAGATAGATAGATAGAGAGAGAGAGAGAGAGAGAGTGGGGGAGAGAGAGAGAGAGAGAGAGAGAGAGATTTTGAAGTCAAAATTTTCCACAGAGTGGAAAACAAACCTATCGGAGTATAAACAAACTGTTGTAATGATTGTTAGTAAAAAAACAATATATTTTGGGCGCACTACAAAATCATGCCTGCTCAAACAATGTGAGAATTGCTCATTATCATGTCCTTGATAAAAGATGTTTGTTTGGGGTAAAATCACGACTGACCAAAGAATTTGAAACTTTTTCATGTTCTAGATCCGAAGTCTTCGATTCCTATGATTTTTTTTTGTTTTTTAAAAAAGAAAGAAATGATATAATGTTTATGGCGCTTCCAGACTTGTATTTCTCAGTTCATATTATAACACTGATAATTTGAAAATAGAAATGATCTAGTGTTATAGCGTCTCCAGTGTTTATTGCAGATATTATTGAAATAATAATTTGAAAATAGGAATGACATAATGTTTATGGCGCTTCCGTTTATTATTCTTTTTCTCATTTCATCACATCGGATATTTTTCCTCTGACAATTTGAAAATAGGAATGATGAAATGTTTATGGCGTCTTCAGGAATGACATAATGTGTATGGCGCCTTGTATATCTCAGTCCATCACATCGGATATTATTTCACAGAAATTTGAAAATAGAAATGATGTAACCTTTATGCCGCCTCCAGTTTAATTGTATCTCACAGTCCATGGCATCAGATATTATTCCACTGACAATATGTAAATAGTAATGAAATAATGTTTATAGCGCCTCCAGCCTTTATTGTATTTCTTAGTTCATCACATCGGATAATATTCCAATGACAATATGAAAACAAGAATCATATAATGTTCATGGCGCCTCCCTTTTTGGCTGTATTTCTCAGTTCATCACATCGGATATTATTCCAATGACGATTTAAAAATAGGAATGAAATAATGTTCATGGCGCCTTCAGTCTTTACCGTATTTATCAGTCCATCACATCTGCGTCTAACGATGTCAAACGCCGAGAGCACAGCTTTAAATGTTTTGCTGGTTTAGTTTCAAACCAAGAACACCTTGGAAATCATATAAGCAAGGGTTCGATTACAAAGCCCAAGTTTTCTAATCCAACTTTCTTGTTTCGAATTCAGAGTAGATAATTCTTCTGATAGGATTATCCCATATCGTATGTCAAAGCTTTTTCATGTATTATTAAATTTCAGGACCTTTGGACCTATTATACATCAACCATGTATTCTTACATACTACAGTACTTGAATCTGGACACCTCGGCGTGGTGTAATAATTAGCAAGCTTTTCTCGCTAGATCAGTTACGACTGAAAAGTGAGTTCGATCCTCACTAGGTGCCTCATACTTTCAGCCTTGTGCCACATCTAAGCTACGCTTGGAAAATCAAGGTCACCACGACGCGGTGTAATGGTTAGCAAGCTTGTCTCGTTAGAACAAATACGACTGAGTAGTGAGTTCAATCCTCACTGGGTGCCCCTTACTTTCGGCCTTGTACCACATCTGAGCTACGCTTGGAAAATCACTATAGTACTAATAGTACTATAGTGATTAATAGTATTAATTAATTCAGAATTAAAGCCTTTCGTTATGTAAACAATTATTGACGAATATATGCTGACATCTTTGTAACTACTTAGCGTTTTAATCATTTCATCCCATGCAAGGGGATAAAGAAACTAAAGCTACTGATAATGAAAGAAACTGAGAAAGAAGAGAAGTCATTAAAAGACCAGGATTTAAAGAGACTGAAAATAACTATTGGCGTTAAATTTCAATTTTTGGAGAGTAATTGACAGGAAAAAAAGAAACTGAGTCAGTGTTCTATGTGCAGGACGTGTGTGAGAAGAATAAAACTTATTAGAATATTAGAATAAAACTTACATTCACATCTATCAATTTTAACAGTAAAATGATGAGACCTAACTTCCAATCGAGTAGTACATTTAAATTCACGAATTCGAGGTACCAAAGAACAAAGTTCATCAGAATAATTCCTATGAACATATTTATAGAAAAGGCAGATAGAAGCTACGTTATCTTAGCAGTTCAGAACAGATGACATTGCAGATAGCGCTTTGGATTTTGTCAAGAATATATCGATATATGGCAGCAATATTCAATGCACGGAAGAATGGTAGACTTATAAGCGTACAAGATTATCTGGTACAAGTTCCTTACAGACGATTTAGCAATTGATTTGAAATAATCTTTGCGATTCATGTCAGTGTAAAACATTGAACTGAGAAGGAACAATAAGTTACTCACCTGGAGGTTAGCATCAGTTAAGATTGATGGAAAAGCTATCTAAGGTTATCTCGTTAGTTAATAGCAAATTGATTGTGAAAACATTGAATTGCAGAATAAAATCTAAAATAGTGTCGTAGTTCAGGAGAGGATCAATTTTTTTTACTTAATAACAACAGAAAAGCCGATCCCCCAATGTAAGTCTTGTAGAAACTTAGATTAATGTTTATCGTAAGGATATATTGAAAGCGTTGCCAACATCCGGCACTTAATACCAATTTGTATTGCAAAAATATTTACGTGCAAAATAATATATGAAATAGAGAAATAGATATGTTCAAAAGCTTATAGAGACAAACTTTTCAATAACACACATACACACACACACACACACATATATATATATATATATATATATATATACTGTAGTTCAAGAGTTTGAAGCGACCCCCAGAATTAATATGGGATGAACTTGAAAGAAGAGTAAAAAAAGCAAAGAATAGAGCTTTTAAAATTATTGAAAAAAGAATGGAATCAATAATCCAACTTATACTTTGAGAAAATTTTGCAACGAATGTCAAAAATTTGTGCTGCGGTAATCAAGGCTGAAAAGGATATTTTGACGAGAGGAAATGCTTTTTTTGTTAATTCATTTTTGTCATAATAAAATTTCTAATAAAATATCATGTCTCACTTTTTTTTTAACCATCCATAATAGTTCACGGTTTTGCGATCATAAGAAAAAAAATGTATCTATTCATGCTTATTTGTCTTTGATTATTTGTGTGTGATGGAGAAGAAGAAAATTTTCTTCTGTGTTTGTTTGGGATGACACTCTCACATACATAGAAACACATAAATACGACACCGAAATAGAATGGCAACGGCGTATATATGTATGCTTGAACGCATGAATGTGTATCAGCGCCTAACGTCGAAGTGTTTATATGGGTGTGTTTGTATGAATTCAAATTCACCACACTCAAATCATCAAAGACAAATAACCATAAATAGCTCCATTTAAAAAAAAAAAAATTAACCAATTTGTCCGATGATCGGAAAAGCGTGAAACACAGATTTACAAACTCATATCCATGCAACTGAGAAGGGACGATGGAGTAATGGATATCGACTCAGATTGAGGAATCAGAGAGCCGAATTCGGATTCCAGTCGAATCTATTACATTCATTTACGTGCTAATACCCTGAGGAAATGTAGGAATCCTCTTCTCCTCCTCCTCCCAGCTATCTATAGCCTTGGATGGCAACTGTTCTACCGCAGAAAGAAATGAAAACCTACTGCAGGAAAAAAATTCTGCCTCGTCAGTCATGTATCGAAAGACACATGATCACCTAAGTGTGTATCACGCATGGCACATAACTATGCTATGACTATGTTAGCTCTATCACAGATATTGAGCACTTTCCATTAAGTACCGCGCATACAATATATATATATATATATATATATATATATATATATATATATATATATATATATATATAGGTATCCATAAAGTTCGTGTGAAATTTAAAAAATTATAACTTTATTTGTATTTGCGATAGAAATAATCTGTAAAAAAATGTTATAAAGTTTAATGTACCTAGTTTTAAGTAGAGCTAAAATAACTAATGTGATTTCAGGCATTATTGTTAATCAGTTGGCAAATGTTTTCCGTGACCTGCAAACTCGTATTACCCTTTGTATTGCTAATGATGGAGGATATGTGGAAATTTCAATAAAACCTTAAAAAATATAGATGTAGTTCTTTCCAATTCTTTTTACAAATTATTTCTATGGCAAATACAAATAAAATTATAAATTTTTTAAAGTGCACACGAACTTTATGGACACCTGTATATATATGTAATATGGGTGTGTATGTGTGCGCGCAAATGTGTATGTATGTGTGTGTATAAATAAAATATGTTAAATTGTAGACAGGATGTATCTGGAGATAGGTCTCTCTCTATATTTTTCTTATTAGGTCAAAGGAAATCAATTAGTCTATTTAACCGATCAGAAATTATTGGTTTAAAAGTTGTTTTCCTGATAGCAAAAAGGAACAGTTTCGATTCGTGATAGGGGACTGGTTTTCTGCAGTTGGACTTTTCAATTAGTATTGATATGTTTTCAGGAGGGTTCTGCATCTTCAGAAGACAACTTTCAAGTCTCAAAAAAAACAAAACATCACTGTTAGCGAGACGGAAGTGCACATCTCTTATGCTAATGGAGATTTTCTAATATATATATATATATATATATACAGTATACAGTGACACGCATAAGTATTGGCTCCATGTTATTTTCTGTTATAACTCTAGTTTATGTTCGCCATTTTGCCTGATATTTGGTAAGTAATATCTCGTAAAGTTGTTTTAGTTGCACGTGGAAAGAAAATTAAAAACTCATGGTTGAATCCATTTTTTTTATCAAATTTTTCTTTTCTCTTAGCTTTTCTCAGATTCTCTCACAGTAACCTCTTGCGTCTTAGTGGCTTTATTGCCTTGCTTAGGATGGAACGATTACACTCGCACACACACACACACACACACACACACACACACACACACACACATATATATATATATATATATATATATATATATATATATATATATATATATATATATATAAGTCGTTGCGATAGCACGACTCGACCGTTCTGTAAGCGAAGCGCACACACAGCGGTCGTGTCTCCCAGAGATATTTTTTCTTCTGGAGAAAGCGAAGTGAATCGAGGAGGTAGACGGGTAGTGGTGGTTCGTTTGAGGCACTATGCTTTGCCGAGAGTTAGGTGGAGAGGTTTGAGTAGTTAAGGGTTGTTCGCAGCCACGATGGCGGTGGCCGTGGGTGTTGGATAGGGTGGGGAGGATTTGGTTCGTGCCTGAGCAATAAAACTATTTCCTGCTCTGGGGCTTCGGTGGAGAGGTGGTGTGTAAAAAGAAACGGGGGAGGGGTGAGGGCGTGGTTCGTGCGTCGACCTAAAAAGATGTAAACCAGAGAAACTAAAAAAGATCGAAAAAACAAAACAAAAAAAAAGAAATGCTGAAAGTGAGAGAGAGGGAGAGAGAGAGAGTGGGAGAAGGTGAGAGAGTGGGAGAAAGTGAGAGAGTATTAAAAGGAAAGGGGAAAATCGAAAGAGAGGCAGAAAGAAAACAACGAGAACCAAAAAGAACGTGGGTCAATTTTATTGGAAGTGTGAGAACAGAAAAAAAAACATAGAAGGTCGATAGATCAATTAATCGCGTATACTCGTATATAAGTCGACCTTCAGAATAACCCGATCATTGACGTTGTTCATGATACTTCATAGTGGCCGCGTGTATACGTCGAGTCCGTTTATTCAGCTGATTCAAACTAAAAATTATAATTTATATTATAATTTTTATAATTAAATAAAACAAAAGGCTATTTTCTAGCAAATAAAATACATTATAATTATTTACGAGATATTTTCCTTTTTAATCATTTCACCTCAGATAAGTTGATAATGCCACTAAGACGCAAGGGATTACTGGAAAAGAAAGAGAATGAGAAGACTAGTGAGGAGAAAGGACAATAAAAGACCAGGTTTCAGGAAGCAGAAGATGACGACTGGCATTGCATTTAAATCTTTGAAGATTGTAAATGGCATGGAACAAAGAAACTGGAAGAGATTTCCACAGGCGAAGGAAGAAACTATTAGAATAGAACTTACGGTTTCATCTTGCTATTTCAACAGTAAAACAATGAGACCTAATTGACAATCTAGTAGTGCGCTTAAATTCATGCGGTCGAGGTACCAATGAGGTAAGCTCATTTAGAACAATTGCCATGAAAATATTTATAGAAAAGAGGGGAAGCCACGTCACGGCGGTTGGAAAGTGATTGATGTCGAGATGCCAGGTCAGGACCTGTAACATTACAGAATCTTCTTTCTCGAGAATTAGATATGGTAGCAATATTCAATGTATTGTCTTTGGTTTCTTTGTAATGTGCCAAAGTTTCGAATGGTAACAGTTAGAAAATGAAAAAGTTTTGTTTCATTGTAAGCAATTTTCATTTCGATTTTTATATTTTGTGTCTCCTTTGCATGTGCCGGTGAGCAGAAATCAAACCCCGTCCTCGTACACTTTCGCAGTAATGCCTTTACGAAACGGCTGAATCCATTTCCTTCATCCCCCTTTTTTTTTATCCCCTGACCCGTAGGTTTGTAGGGGGTCCATATGTACACAGTAGAAGTAGTGTTTTTTGGGCAAGATACCCTGACGGAGCGCAACCCTCTCCAGGCCGGTCTTGAATTCAGAGTTTTTCCTTCTCCTAGACCAGTTGCCACCCAAGGCTGTCCTGTTATTTACCCATATTATTTAGAAGAGGATTCATACCTTTTCCCAGGGTATTAGCACGTAAATGAATGGATTGGAATTCGAACTCGGCTCTTCGATTCATCAGTGCAAACCACTGTACACTACTATACCATTACTCCTTTCCTTCGACCTAGCTACGGGTAAATAGCAGGTCTTTAGCTTTGATAAGGCAACCAATCTAGAAGAAGGACAACTGGAAACTAGTCTACTATTCTTCATGAGATGTCTTGGAAAATCACCCATGATAAAGAACAATAAACTGTACAGAACCAATATCGCCCACGTCCTTTTGGGACGTGACTTCAAAAACTATTGCCAAAAGTCACAATTGGTCAGTTTGTGATGGTCCATTGATCAGTATATATTATAATTTCATCTTAATGTTGATTTTCCTATTATTTACAACTTCGGCCAACAATCGACAGCTGTTGATGTATAGCAGTGTAAATAATATTATCTGATGTGGATTTTCTTGTCAAAATGACCTTGCAAGGGATAAAAACAAACGTTGCAACGTGGCCAATATTCAACAGGTGTTAATGCGTCAATCTGTCAATATTGCTTTGATAGGCATCACACTTTTAAATGAAATAATAACGAAAGGCTGCAATATAGTTTTCAGATATCTATATATATATTATATACCCGTATATAATACTCTCTCCTGTGCTGATAAGGTTGTAAAGTAACTTTCTTTCCCATAATCTGGTGAGTAGCATCTGCAGAATGCAGTGAACACCTACCGTATCTTTATGAAAATAAACGTACCTGTGTAAAAGAAGCTTGTTTAATTGAAGAGAAAGTTTTCGGGAAAAAAGTTAGTCTTATTTGAAAGATTTTATTCAACAAAAATTCATTCTGATACTTGATATATATATATATATATATATATATATATATATATATATATATATATATATTGTGTGTATTTAGGTAGCATTTTTTCATTGATGCATGTTTCATTAAATAATATAGACAAGTGTTGTCTATTTATTTTATGCAAATTCTCTTCATAACGTCTGATAAGCTTAATAACATTATCACTAAAAGAAGAAAGAAAATTACAATATCGATACATATTTTTAATCCTATCTAAACTTTCGGCTAGACAAATCTAGTCTATATTATTTAATGAAACATGCATCAATATATATATATATATATATATATATATATATATATATATATATATATATATATATATATATCGCTATCACCCCCACGCAAGGGAGTAAAGTCACAAGGGTGTGGAAGAATTAGCAACAGAAACATTAATCATTAATAATGAAAGGAGAGTGTAATCAGGACAGTTTCCGAGAAATTTAATAGAAAATGTGTGTCCTCCGACAGGAATCAAACCCTTATCCTACACGAAACATTAATATAGTCTGACGTGTTATACCATTTAGCTACAGAGGACTTTGCTAACCAGATGCTTCCTCCGTAGCTAAATGGTATAGCACATCAGGCTATATAACGGTTAGGTGTAAAATACAGGTTCGATTCCTGTCGGAGGCAACCAATTTCCTATGAAATTTCTCGGACATTCAGACCGGTAAATGTTGTTAATACTTTTTATTATAAACAGAGCATTTACTTAAATATTTGTATCTATAAAAATAACAAATAAACAGAAAATTTATTGAAATAATTGTCAAACTTCGTCCATTTTATTTTATATTTATATATATATATATAGGACGCAAGTAAATTCTGACATTAAATTTTTGCGTAAAAAGTGTGTCTTATACACCCGAAAATACAGCAATTTCTACATGTTTTCTTTTCATCTTTCCCTTTCAAAAATTGGTAAGTAAACTTCCAACTGACGCTAACCTTGGCTCCCAATCTTACCTTGAATACGGATAAAACCAGGCCAATAGGCAATGTTTATTTTTATTTTAAAACCACGAATGCAGTGAATACAATTAGATATAAAAGTGGATATATCTACAAAAATTCGCTTAAAAAGAAGCATACCATGATGAAAAAAAGCCCAAACTTGATTAAAAAACAAAGTTGTATAGTCAAAATATTTATGTTATTATTATTAGGAAAAAAACAAAGGATTTTTTAAATTATTTTCTTAATTTTTTTAATCGTTTCTATCACGTTCGATATTTTGATTAAATTATTTGTTTTTCTTGCGCCAGCATGTGGGCCATCGATTAATATTGGAAATTTAATGTCCTTTTTGCGTTAAAAACACATTATTTTGGAAATTCTTGCATATATCGTTTTTTAGAAAATCTTGGTAAAAATATTTTTTTATGTATCTGTCAAACCCCACTTGTTTAATTTTATCAAATTCGGAAAAATTATAATTCCACCCTCTTTATATTTATATTAGTTAAAAGCAGGACTCCTGGAGAATTTAAATCATGAATTTGGTTTTTGTCAAACAGAAAAACCATCTACCTAAAATCACTATTTAATTAGAAAAGTTTTTTAATTTTTGGTTTTTATATAAATAAGGATTTTTTTTCGATGAATAATGAATTTTTACAAAAAATATTTTAATTTTTTCCAAATTTTAATTAGAAGAATTTAGTAAGTTTTATATCTTTTAAAATATTAATCTTACACTTTTAGATGATTAAAAACTATATTTACTAATCATAAATGGAAAAGCCTAGTACAAATCATCAAATAATAATATTTTAAAAAGAATTTTGAATATTTTTTTATTAGAGTATAAACCTGCTGATTTTTTTAAGTGCGAGCGACCATACACGATATAATCAGAAAATAAAAGCAATAAGTGGAGTAAATTTAAAACCAACATTTCTAAAATTCAATAAAACATTATTACGAAGAATGTTTTCCTAAATTTTAAAGATATTCCGAAAACTTTAAAATATATAAAAAAAGGCTTCACTTATGTTATACCGATAAATTCTTCGTAGAACAATATTATCACGTCAACACAGCTACAATCGGGTTTAGAAAATGTATTTCTGTGATATTTTAAAGTTAAAGTAAATAAAATTTGTTTAAAATCAGATTAATTATACTTAAATCATCTAATATTCTTCAAATAAAGTTTCAAAAAGGTATATTTATTTTTGGAAGTTTATTTAATAAAGAGAATTACATTGTGCTGAGAGATGGCTGAAAATAGTGCTACTATCAGCGATTTGTAGAGATTTAAAAAAAAACTTCCTCCCCAGAGAGCTCAAATATATAAAAAAAAAAACTCAACAACAAGGGGGGGGGGGGAAGCAACCGGTTTCGCTCCCGCTCGTCAGGCTTCCACGGGAGATTCAATATTAAAACAGAGAAATGTACAATAAGAATAGGTGGAAAAAAAACAAAAAAAACAAAAAACGGTTGCTCCCCCCCTGTTGTTGAGTTTTTTTTATTATTTAATATTGTTTTAATATGTCTTGTAATATTAAATTTTATACTTTTATTTCGATCATTAAATTTTGTACCTATAAAAATATCTTTAAATATATATATATATATATATATATATATATATATATATATATATATATATATATATATAGATAGATAGATAGATAGATAGATAAAATATGCTTATGATTAATGGAAATAAAAAGCATTTAAAAAAATGATCGGCACTAAATTTATCGGCCAACAATTTATATTGTTCTACTCATCTATCTGACAGGTTACTTCGTCATTTCCTCTTTCCATATTCATTTTACAAAACCCAGAAATAATTGCCCTCTCTATATTTCACAGCTTTCCTAGTTACCTCATATTTTTTTTATTATTAAAAGACGACTGTAAATAGCAATCCGAAAATGCAAAATATCTTTTGAATAGGATGGGTAAACGAGATATCGTCAGAGCCAAAGCGAAACAAGAGTTGTTTGATCTCCAAAGAAACAGAAAATAAGAGCCTGATCCTGGTGGAATATTAAGCCCTTCCTCTTAAAGATGTCATATGGAA